CCCTTCAAGGCTCAGGGGTCCAGGATTATCTTCTGTGTCTGTGTTAATTGGTTTCCCTTTTCTTTGTTGAAGAGGGTCTGTGCAGCTTTCTGCCTAGTCTGCCATCTTGGAATTGATCATCTAGCCATAGATTTTTAAAAAGTGGAGTTTCTTGCTCTGAGCCTGATAAGCCAATAGCCATCACAGTCTTGGCTGATAGCAGGCCCACTGTGAGGGTCTTGGTGAAATCAGAAAGACAAAAGCCCAGCTTTCCTGCCCGAGATGTGTTTGCCTGGGCCACTCTGTGGTCCCTACTCCTGTTCTCTGTCAGCTTGCTCTGCTTGGGGTTTTCCTTTCATCCACATAGTTTTACAATGTAAACACTGAGTACTGAATCAAGAAAAGTATGATATAACTGTATAGAGAAGATGGAGTGTGGTAGTTAAGGTTTTATGTCAACTTGGCTGGGCTTGGTTTTGAGTGGCTGGGCAGCTGGTGGCAGTTATTCCCCATGATGAAACTGGCAATCAACTCCACAGTGGCATCTGCTGTGAGCAGCTGAGTAGCTGCTCTAGAGATTTGGTCTGCTTCCTATATATCAGGAGAAGTTTGGGGAATGGTCTACAGCTTATGGCATGGTTGAACCCTGCATGTAGCTGAATCACTATTCAGCAACCTGTCATGTTGCCCTGGCAATCTTGGGACTTTTCCTGGACTTCAATCAATGGCCTGCCATGTGGTTTGGTGATTATCAGGACTGTGCCTTTTTACTTGTGGACCTTGGGTTGGACAGCCTCAGCGGCCAGCAGCTGCCTGAGTAAAGAGAAGCCTTCAGCCTCAGTGGGCCAGGAGCAGGAGGCAGAGGTGAAGCCCAGGGCTGAGGGGCTTTCAGCCAGCCCCTAGAGCCTGGCACTTTGAACTTGGACTTCTAGCCTCCAAAAACTGTAAGAATAAACTTCTGTTTGTTAAAGCCATCCCATTTGTGGTATATTCCTGTACAACCGGCACTAGGTAACTAGAACATGGGGTATAGGAGCAGTGTGTTGAGGAGTGGATGAAAGAGAGTTAAATCTTCATCTTCCAAAACTGAGATAAATTCCAAAACAAGCATCTGAAGAGTTTAAATTAATTGCTTCTGGAAAGGGAACAATGGGGGAGAAGCGGTATGGGGATGACTGCTTTTCCTAATATCCATTGCTGTAAAGTCAGCCCTGATTCATGGCAACCCTGCATATTTCAGAGTATAACTGAGCTCCTTAGGGTTTTCTTGTCAGTAATATTTATGGAAGCAGATCACCAGGCCTTTCTTCCTAGGTGCTGCTGAATGGATTCTAACTGCCAACTTTGGGCTAGTATCTAAACACAAACCATTTGCACCACCCAGAGACCTCTCTTTTTCCTAACAGTCCTCATAACACTATTTGACTCATTAAACTACATGAAAGTTTAAACTTAGATTAAAAAAAATAATAATAAACAAAAATAAATTGTGAGCCAACAGCACCTCCTCATCTTTCCTTCCTCCTACATAGCACTTATCTGATTTATTGTAATTATTCATCTAATGTCTGTCTTTCCTAAAAGTTAGGGGTCTATAGGAGCAGGGTCTGTGTCTACCTGTTCTTTGCTTATCCCAAGAGTCTGTCAGATATAGAAGCTCAACACATATTTGTGGAATGAATGATTTCTTCAATAAAATGTATATGCAGATATAGGTAAGAGAATGTTGTTTCATAACAAAATGCTAACAGTAGTTAGCTTTCGGTGGTGAGATTACATGTACTTTTGAAAAAAATCCTATGCTTTATGTTCTTCACTTGATATGCATTACTTTTGTGATATGAAAATTTATTTTAAATACTATTTTACACACTGAATTGGGAAGCACTGATAATTTCAAAATTGAAGAAAACACTTCACAGGAAATATAATAATTTAAAGATGACTTAGACATCTAAATTCTATTTAAAAAGAGAAAAGATACAGCACTGTAGAGCAAAATGCCAAAAAGTACATATCCATAAAAGTCATTCTCTTACTGTTACACTTTAAAGTAAAGGTGTGCCACAGGTAAGAATCACAATTATGTCCTTAGCTATCCACTGTGTTTGTGCTGCTTCACTTCAAAAGAAAGTTTAAGAAACACAATTAAGATCAATCTCAATGGATACTTCTAACATGGGGTTTAACTTTGCAAATATGAAAACAGGATGAGAATGATTCTAATTTGCCTATTTTTCAAGGAAACCATTTCAACTCCTATAAATTCAGATGAGAGTGAAGTATAAACAAATCATCATTATAGTTGATCACTTAACATCTGTGCCTTCAGGCTACACAAGGTTGAAACCATCAGCATTCCCTACGCAGATTTCTAAGCAGATGGCTTTCACAATTTGGCCTGAACAAGCATTAATTGACGTGCAAGAAAGATTGTCTTCCAATTACTACTGCTCCTGCAAATAACTTTATCTGCTATATGTGTCTATTGCTGGCGTATTTGTCTGTTATTCACCAGAAATCATAAATCCTATTTTTTGAAGGCATACTAGAAATATTAATGGTATCCATGCCGAACTACTCCGGTTCTGGTTTAACAGTCCCATGTGTGTCAGACTAGCACTGTGCTCCATCAGGTTTTCAATGGTTGATTTTTCAGAAGTAGATTCCCAGGCCTTTCTTCTGAGGCCTCTAGGTTAGAAAAAAGCCCAGTAATTGCTTGTACCACCCAGGGACTCCACAGCTAGCTCGACGGTCCATGCCTCCGAAAACCAAACTCATTGCCATTGAGTTATTCCAACTCATAGAGACCACCATTGGGTTTCCAATGCTGTAAATCTTTACGGAAGCAGACTGCCTCATCTTTCTTCTGTAGATTGGCTGGTGGGTTTGTATTTGTGTCTCATGTGAATGCCCATCAAAAAGTGACCTTGGCAGAGGAGGACTTTAACAATCAGGTGGATAGGATGACATGTTCGGTGGAAACCAGCCGTCTTTTTCCCCAGCTACTCCTGTCATTGCTCAATGCGCTCATGAACAAAGTGGCCACAGTGGCTGGAATGGAAGTTATGCATGAGCTCAGCAACATGGACTCCCGCTTACCAAGGCTGATTTGGCTACTGCCACTGCTGAGTGCCCAATCTTCCAGCAGCAGAGACCAACACTGAGACCGTGATATGGAACCATTCCTCAGGGTGATCAGCCAGCAACCTGGTGGCAGGTTGATTACATTGGACCACTTCCAACATGGAAAGGACAGCATTTTGTTCTTACTGGAATAGATACTTATTCTGGATATGGATTCGCCTTCCCTGCATGCAATGCTTCTGCTAAAACTACCATCCATGGACTTACAGAATGCCTTATCCACCATCATGGCATCCCACACAGCATTGCTTTGGATCAAGGGACTCATTTCACAGCACATGAAGTGCGGCAGTGGGCTGGTTTAATAGAACCATGGTTTGATAGGACAATGGAATGGCCTCTTAAAAACACAAATATGGTGCCAGCTAGGTGGCAATACCTTGAAGGGTTGGGGCAATGTTCTCCAGAAGGCTGTATATGCTCTAAACCAGTGTTCAATATATGGTTCTGTTTCCCCAATAGCCAGGATTCACAGGTCCAGGAACCAAGGGGTGGATACAGGAGTGGTACTACTCACTATTACTCCTAGTGACCCACTCAAAAAATTTTTGCTTCCTGTCCCTGCTACCCTATGCTCTGTGGGTCTGGAGATCTTAGTCCCAAAGGAAGGAACACCCCCATCTGGAGACACAATACTGATTGCATTGAACTGGAAATTAAGAATGCCACCTGGCCCTTTTGGCTTCCTCGTGCCTCTGGATCAACAGACAAAGAAGGGCATTACTGTACTATCTAGTGTGATAGATCCTGATTACCAAGAGGAAATTGGATTGGGTTTACATAATGGAGGTAAAGATGAATATGTCTGGAATACAGGAGATTCTTTAGGACGTCTCTTATTACTACTATGCCCTGTGATTAAGGTCAATGGAAAATTACAGCAACCCAATTCTGATATGACTGCTAATGGCCCTGACCCTTCAGGAATGAAGGTTTGGGTCACCCCACCAGGCAAAGAACCACAACCAGCTGAGGTGCTTGCTGAGGGCAAGGGAAATACACAATGGGTGGTGGAAGAAGGTGGTTCTGAATATCAGCTACGACCACATGACCAGCTGCAGAAACGAGGACTGTGATTGTTATATTTCTTCATTGTATATGTGCATCAAATATTTTTGTTTCCTTCTGTTATGAACTGTGAAATGTAAATAAGGTTAATGCATTTTGGTTGTATGTGTGTTAATGTGTCATGGTAGGCACAAATATGACTCTGTAATTGTCCTTATTTAGAGATTATATATGGTTAAGAAGATGTGTACAACTGCCAAGTTGACAAGGGGTGGACTGTGATAGTTGGAGCTGTGTGTCAACTTGGCCAGACCCCAGTTCTGTGTGGTTGTTCCCATGATGGGCTCGGATGACTGTGTTCTAGGTGGCGAATCTGCCCAAGGGGAGTTTCCCTAGGGGTGTGGCCTGCTTCCAGGATATTCAGGGACATCCTGGAAAGAGAGACATTCTTCTGTGGATCGGGACTCTGATGTGCTGCCTACAACTTTCCATGAGTGAGCAGCCCACCATTTAGCCTGGAGATCTTGGATTCGTCTTTTGTTGGAGTCAACAGCCAGTGTACTGCCTGCCAGCCTTGAGCTTCTTGGCCCCCTGTGGTTGCGGAAGCTAAGGCTGCCTCCAGTCTGACATTTCCTCCAGGGACTTTGGACTTGCCGGCTTCTATACGTTTGTGAGCCATTTTCCTAAGATTTTTTTTTTTTTTTCTCTCTCTCTATATATAAGATTTGCTGGCTTTTGTTTCTCTAGAGAACCCAGTCTAACACAAACCAGTAGTGACTTTTGGTTAGTAGCCAAATGCCTTAACCATTATACCACCAGAGCTCACTGGTCTATGCCTAGCAAGATACATATAAGAAGTTTGTTACCTGTGGCTTTCTTCATGCTGTTTCGAGGCTGAGCAGGTGTAGGGTGGGGGGTCTTCCCAGGATCCCTGGGACCTTCTTGGCAGTCTCCTCCTCTAAACCCAGGGCAGCATCTCCATTCCAGCTGTGTCACTGTCTTGTACTTAGTGACATACCTGGGTCTGAAGTTCACTCTATACCTGTGGGGAAAAAAGGGCAGCATTTCTGCACTGGCTGTTGTTCAAAGCACCTCTGTATCTCATACCTGTTAGGGTAGGACCCAAATGAAGAGGACTCGGGTTGAACAGGACCCTGCCTGCCCTCTCTAGGCAGACCTAGAGAGGATTGCTGGTCTCCTCAGTCGAGTGTGGCCCCCTGGGGTTCAGCTAAAATCAAACCTGCCTCTGGAAGGGAGGGGCTCTGCATACCATGGTAAGGGCCACTGTCCTCCTTCTCTTTGATCCACCTGTACCTGGCTTCACAGCTGAGGAAAACATGACCTCACCAGTCCCATTTGGTATGGCAATTTATTTTATTTCATTGTGGTAAAATATATATAAAAGAAAATTTGCCATTTTAACTGTTTTTAAGTGTAATGTTCAGTGACATTAATTACATTCACCACATTTACAATCATCACCACCATCTATTTAACATGGGTAGTTTTAAGCCTTCAAACTGAGCCTTTGTTTCACCAACAAACTTCTTTTCTACAATTTCCTGCTATGTGGAGATTTATTTAAGTATAACTCAAGGTTGTTTGGTTTTATATTTTGTTTTAAAGACAAACGTCCCTGGTGCCCTGGTCTCCCACAGCATCCACATACTTCTCTCTAGGCCTTCTTCCTCTAACACTAGCTAAGGTATAGACTTGACAACCTTAGGAGACTGGACCTCATACTGTTTGTGCCAGATGTTTTTTTTTAAAATATGCCCTGGCCCATGCTGCTAACAACAGGAATAAAGAAGGAGCTTTGGAACAATTCAAAAAAACATGTATTTCATGTTCCTGGAGCTTCCTGGGTGGCAAAAGGCATTGGTGTTAGGGGAGATGGAGATGCCACTTTTTTGGGACATGGAAGTTCCATGTTGGGGAACCTCCCAGGCCTTGTCCTATGTATCCCTTCATTTCTATCCCTTGTGCTACAACTGTAATTGTAGTAAAGAGATTGCTATTGTAACCCTAGAGTACTTGAGGGGCCAGAACCCAAGCATGGTACAGACAGGAGCAAGCAGTTCATGTTTGTACTGACTACAGTAGCCAAGGAAGTGAAAATAATACTCAGGACCCATCCACAATAAGTGCCCTACTTTTCCAGAACATTCTGAGTTTTCCTTTGGGCCTATAAATGTTGCTGAAAATCACAACATGACTTTAATTGTGTGTCTTCTACTGTAACTGCATTGTAATAAGGTCTTTAAAACTGCTATAGTCAGTATAGTTTAGGAGTTAAAAAGTACATTTCTGTTCAGCTAGATAACAAAAAAGGATTTATAGAAACATAAAAAAATATAATATACACATTTCCCAATGTACATTCACATAATAAAGAGAGACTTACAATGAGCTCCAAGGTTCACCAGACGTGGCCTGGGCCTGGGCTAAGGACAGGCCTATCAACCCTACAGTCCTCACGCACTCACAGAAGGCATATCAAGGAGTCTACACCCTCACCCCCACCCCCAGTGCTCTGCTCAGTGCATAGACCCAACCCACGGTCACACAGGACAGGCCCTCTAAAATTGGTCCCAAGCTCCTACTTTCTGGCTTGCAACCACCCCTCTCTGGAGCCTCTTCACTTTCTCTTCATTTTTAACACCAGCACTACAGCTGGCCTTCATTTGGGGACGATTCCCAGAGAGAAACAGGCTTTGTATCACTTCCTGAGGGTTACTGACTGGGCTCGTGGAGGAGTTGGATGGTGACCAGCTGCACAGAGCTGCAGCTGTTGGGGGGTGGGGTTTGCATGGAGGCCTACGGCACTGCCAAGTGACTCCATCTCAGGCACTAGCCTGTAGCAGGTGAAATTCACAGTTATACTCCTAAGCAAAATGGCAAATATAACCCTCTTCCCTGAGGGTTAAAACCATGAGAAGCAAAACCTCAAATGTTAAGGATAGTAACCCCCCCATGACAAATAGAGGAGTCCCTCTGGAATTCTGAGAGGGCGCTACCAACAAGTGTCACACCTCCAGGTGTATTTGAGTTTATCATCCTTTAAGGTGGTGTTTCACAAGGTGGGCTGTGCATTAGAATCACCTAGCTGCCTGATGCCAAGTGAACTCCGACTCGTGGTGACCCTGTGTGTGTCAGAGCAGAACTGTGCTCCACTGAGATTTCAAGGCTGTCTTTTCAGAAGTACATCACTAGGCCTTCTTCTGAGGCACCTCTGGGTGGATTCAAACCTGCAGTCTTTCAGTTGGCGGCCGAGTGCATTTGTACCATCCAAGGACTCCAAGAATCACATAGGGAACTGTTAAAACTTACTGATGCCTGGGTCTCCCCCTCAAAGATTCTGATTTAATTGGTCTGGGGTGGGACTTCGGCATTGGGATTTTGAGAAGAAGTCCCAACAGAGGAGCCTTTTTCAAGGAAAAGTTAAGAGAAAGCCCAATAAGTAAAACAGGAAAGCAAGGGCTTCTCTCCTATGTGTGTATGTACATGTGTGTGAGGGAGTGTTTGGGTGAGTGTGAGTGTGTGTATGTGTATGTGTGTGAGGTGGGGGAACATAAAACCCTCCTTCCAGGCTCTCCAGTCTCTCTCATTACCACCTCATCCCATCAAGACGCCACCATTTATTTTCTCATTTTTACAAATTTAAAAAAAAATGAGATAATAAATACTCAGAGAGGTTAAGTGACTTGCCCAAGTTCACACAGACAGTTAGTGGCAGGGCTGGAGTTTAAATCCAAGTGCTCCACTTTGAAGCCCTGTGACTTCTCCCTTTGCCCCATACTGCCCTCCCAGAACACAGAAAAAGCAATTGTCTCTGCAAATTGCCTTAAATTCAAAGATACAGCCCCACCTAGAGAGGTTCCAGAAGGCCCTAAGAGTTGGGAAGAAGGTAGCCATCATTCCAATTTAGCAAACACTGCCTGAGCATGTAATTTCAGACAGGGATACACCAGCCCTAGGCCCTATCACCCCACCTACCTCTTCTAAAAATTACAGGAGGAAAAAAAAAGACAGAAAAATCCCACATCATTGTTTTGCATATTTAAGTAGAGAATAATGCCAGAAAAGTGTGTAATCTCAGAAATATCTTGCTCCTCTGAGCATTGAAGAATGAATGTAAAGTGTGTTTGCTCTTGGGTTTTAGTCACTGGTCAGTAGATGACAGTCCAGATTAAATGGTTTTGGATATGAACAACGAGCACCAAACACGTATTTCTGGGCCCATGCCACGGAGTGGGGCGAGCTCCCACCCCACCCCTAGCTGCATGAGCCAGAGTGTAAAAAAGTCCTTGCTTTGTCAACACACATCAATATTCTCTTTAAGGGCAGTTATATTTTCGAGCCTGTTCCTACTTGGGAAGTTCCACAGAGTGCTTGCCCCCTCCTACACATTCTCTACCTGGCTGGCTCTTTCCCTCCTCCTGTGGTCATTTCCAGCAACAGAGCCCAGGTTGACAGCGTTCATAACAAAGTGTTCACTCTAACATGTGCAGGAGGCCTTCTTGGCGAGCAGGACAGCTGGAAGTGATCAGGAGCACCCTCTGGCCATGAGAAAGGCTCACCGTAAGGCCTTCCTGGTACATTCCCTGCAAGACACCACAGAGCCTCTGGATCCCAGGATGGCCAAGCCTCAGGCCTCAATCTGAAGTTGGGGGCTGTCCAGACTCAGTAGAAACTGGGTTCCTGCCTCCACAGTAGTCAGCCAGAGTTTCCCCAGAGTACAAGGGTGAATCAAGTGGGACCCACACCTTCTCTGCCATCCAGATCAATGCAGGGGAATAGCCTGGCCAGGAAGCATCAGAAAATTGCCATGCCCTTTAATCTCTCATGCCCCAAATTCTAATTTAATTGGTTGGAGGATGGGCACCAAATCATCAGGATCTTTCAAAAGCTCCCCAAGTATTCCTCAACTGTTAGAAGCACTGCTCAGATACCAGTTCTGTTTCTGCCCCCACAGGGAACCCTCCAGCTCACAAATGGGAGCCAGGAAGTGGGTTCTCAGAGGTAATGGCAGGATGAGCCTAGCCAACCAGGGAATGAAGATAACACAAAGCAGGTCAGGGCTGCACTGGGGCCCCTAGGCTATAAGCACCCAGAAGACGCTCAAGAGACATTTATGGAGTCCGTTACCATTTGTACCCAGCAGGGGCAGCCAAGAGGAGGAAATGACAGCCAAAGGAACAAAATCAAGGCTAGAACTGGTGGGCTGCAGCCTTGGCTGAGACCCTGGTCTCCGGTGGAGCCCATGACTACATCCTGCCCCCTGGAGAGCTGTGCTCCACAGCTGCCTCGGCACCCATGGATGCCACTTGGGGCTGCCCCCACCTCTTCTCCCCACCCTGCTTTCCCCTTCTCTCCCTCTGAAGCCCTCCTGTTGCTATGTACAAGGATTCACCATTTTTAAGATTTCAGCTCCACGTTTAGGCACCAGATGGATCCAGGAAAAGCTGATGAGCAGGAAGGTGGCAAGAAAAGATCTGGGAGGAGTTCTGGCAAGATGGCGGACTAGGCAGAAGGATTGCACAGACCCTCTTCAACAAAGAAAAGGGAAACCAATTAACACAGACACAGAAGATAA